GGACGCTTGAGAAAATTATGGATATCCCGTCATAACTTAAGTAATTTGTACTCTTGCACCATTGAGAGCATCCTGATGAGGAAAATCAGAGCTTGGTACGGAAACAGCAGCGATCAGGACTACAAGGCCCCGCAAAGAGTGGTTCATTCATCTGAGCATACAATGGGCACCGCTCTACCCTGCCTAAAGGATGTTTACTCCAGGCGCTGCAAAAATTAGGCCAAGAGAATCATTAAGGATCCCAAACACACGAATAACAGCCTTTTCTTTCTGTTGAGGTCAGGAAGAAACCACCGGTAGTGACTCACTGGATGTAGATTGTGGCTATAAGCCTGCCACGTTATACCTTCCTTCTGTTATCAGTGTGTTACCATTTTCAAAATCCCATTTTGCTATGGGAACCCCCCCCCCCCCCCCAGCACTATTTTGCAAGAGCTCCGTCACGGCATCCTTTGTGCCACCCAAGACAACTGTGATTGGTTTAAAGGAAGAAAAACAGGACAGCGTGTTTTTTTTTCCCCTATAGCAGAAAGATGGATCTGTGATACTAGACCATCCTCTAGTGCTGACACAGCCAGTGGCGTAAGGCAGTTAAAAACAGGCCCCAGTGCACTCTACAGGAATCTAATTTAGGGACCTCTGCTACTTCTTCCTCCTGTGACTTGCAAACGACATGCTCAGCTCGTCAGTCTTGACAGATTTTGCGCTCGTACTAGCTACTGTATCATATCGTCTTGTCACATGACCAAGTAGACACTGGACATTAGGTAACATCCACATACTGTACATGTTACCCAACAATCGTGTGTGTATTATATGTTTATAAAATCCCTCTCCCACCCTCCCCATGGGGCTGGTGGTGTGTCTTCCTCAAGCTCAGATCCTCTACCAGAGGTTCGGGAGTTTGAGGGTTCTGCACAGTATCTTAGCTGTTCCTGGGATTGCACTCTTCTGGACAGAGACCTCAGATGTACCTGAATCTGCTGGAGCCACTCTCCCCGTTTGGGGGTCACAGCCCCGAGTGCTCTGATTTTTGCCTTTACTCCCAACAACTTTTCTAGCTCTTCTTTCAGCCCGTGGTATTTCTCAAGCTTCTCGTGTTCCTTCTTCCTGATGTTGCTGTCACTCGGGATTGCTACATCGATCACCTCTTCTGTTGTTTGTCGATCAACACGATGTGTGGTTGGTTAGCCATCACCAGTTTGTCATTCTGGATCTGGAAGTCCCATGGGATCTTAGCTCGGTCATTCTCAACCACCTCAGGAGGTGTCTTCCATTGGGACCTCGGGACTTCCAGCCCATACTCAGTGTAGATGTTCCTGTACACCATCCCAGCCACTTGCTTTTATTTACAAAATTAAATACTTATTCTATGTACACTATAAAAACTCTGAATAATATATATTATTCAGAGTTTTTGCTCTGCTAATAAAGACAAAACACAATCATGACGGAGATGGGTTTGCATTTTTGAGGGCATACAGCCCTCAAATGGCAACATTTTTAATTTATTGTGAGTTTTTTTTTTTTTTTTTATAAACACAGGTGTAGTTTCAAAGTGTCAATCAGATTAATTCATAAGCTGCCCCCCCACCCAGCCCATGGGCCCCAGTGCACCAGACCAGCACTGAGAGACTCAGGAGGAGCGTCTGCCCTTAGACCACAAGGATCTTAAATGAAGACCTATCTTATAATCCTATATTCACTATAACAGTTGTTTGTTTCAGTGCACAAATTGATGAAACTAACAGGATTACAGTTGTATTTTATATAATCTCAAGTGATGAATAATATGATTGATTGGTTGATTGGTTGGTTGGTTTGTTGATTGACTGGTTAATTTATTGTCTATAGGCAGCAGTAAGCCTAGTGTCTTTAACTGATAGAGGCAAGTTTGACATGTGGCTTATGGGAATTAATTGGAAGCGTACAATCATCACCTTAGTTGATTTCTATGTAACTCACATACAGTGCCCTCCAAAAGTATTGGAACAGTGAGGCCAATTCCTTTATTTTTGTTGTAGACTGAAAATATTTGGGTTTGACATCAAAAGATGAATATGGGACAAGAGATCAACATTTCAGCTTTCATTTCCAGGTATTTACATCTGGATCTGATACACAACTTAGAAGATAGCACCTTTTGTTTGAACCCACCCATTTTTCATGAGAGCAAAAGTATTGGAACATGTGACTGACAGGTGTGTTTTGTTGCCCAGGTGTCTCCCAATTACATTGATTATTCAAACAATAAATAGCACTGAATGTCTGAGCTCAGTTTCAGATTGGGTACGATAGGTTTTGCCTGTGCAGGCTGTATTTAGAGGTGGAACCAACATGAAAACCAGAGAGCTGTCTATGGGTGAAAAAGAAGCAATTGTGAATCTGAGAGAAGATGGACAATCAATCAGAGCCATTGCACAAACATTGGCCATAGCCAGTACAACCATTTGGAATGTCCTGAAGAAGAAAGAAACCACTGGTGTACTAAGCAACAGACGTCGAACAGGTAGACCAAGGAAAACATCAGCAGTTGATGACAGAAACATTGTGAGAGCTGTAAAGAAAGACCCTAAAACAACTGTTAGTGACATCAGCAACAACCTCCAGAGGGCAGGAGTGAAGGTATCACAATCTACTGTTTGCAGAAGACTTCATGAACAAAAGTACAGAGGCTACACCAGAAGATGCAAACCACTCATTAGCAAGAAGAATAGGAAGGCCAGGCTGGAATTTACCAAAAGGTACAGAGATGAGCCTCAAAAATTCTGGGAAAAAGTGAAACACATTGGAGGTAATGTCATGGCTTGGGCTTGCATGGCTTCTTCTGGGACGGACTCTTTCATCTTCACTGATGATGTAACACATGATGGCAGCAGCAAAATGAACTCAGAAGTCTACAGAAACATTTTGTCTGCTAATTTAAAGAAAGATGCAACCAAACTGATTGGGAGATCCTTCATCATGCAGCAAGATAACGACCCAAAACACACTGCCAAAACAACAAAGGAGTTCATCAGGGGAAAGAAGTGGAAGGTTTTAGACTGGCCAAGTCAGTCTCCAGACTTAAACCCAATAGAGCATGCATTTTACCTGCTGAAGAGGAGACTGAAGGGAGTAACCCCCAAAACAAACAACAGCTGAAAGAGGCTGTGGTGAAAGCCTAGAAAAGCATCACAAAAGAAGAATGCAAAAGTTTGGTGATGTCAATGGGTCACAGGCTTGATGCAGTTATTGAAAGCAAAGGATTTGCAACTAAATATTAAGTCTCATTCACTTTAATCTATTTTAAGTTTATATGTTCCAATACTTTTGCTCACCTAAAAATTTTGTGTTCCATTACAAATAATGCTATCTTCTAAGTTGTGTATCAGATGCAGATGTAAATACCTGGAAATAAAAGCTGAAATGTTGATCTCTTGTCTCATATTCATCTTTTGATGTCAAACCCAAATGTTTTCAGTCTACAACAAAAGTAAACGAATTGGACTCACTGTTCCAATACTTTTGGAGGGCACTGTATTTACATACTGTTATTGTGCCTACAACCAGAGGAAGTGTTTGTATTCCAATATGTGGAGTTAAGTTATGGAACAGTCTGAATGTGGAGCTCAAGCAATGTCCAAGCACACACCAATTTAAATAAGGTATAAAGACAATGTAGTCAGGAAGCACATGGTTGAAGAAGGCGTTTGACATTCACCAGTTGTTCATAGGGGTTAGTGTTCCTGTACTGGTAAATCTGTTTTAAGAGGAATCAAGTATACCATACTGACGCTCTGAGCACCCCATAAAACAGATTTACCAATACTATTTTTCTTTTTTCAAGATTTTTTTGGGGCTTTAATTGATAGGACAGACTAGTGTGAAAGGGGGACAGAGAGAGGGAGAGACATGCAGCAAAGGGCCACAGGCTGGAGTCGAACCAGGGCCGCTACGGCAACAGCCTTGTACATGGGGCGCCTGCTCTACCACTAAGCCACCGACGCCCCAACAATACTATTTTTCTGAAATTAACAATGTATTAATATGTAAACACAAGTATATATTGATAGAATAACGTATATTCATACTTTGTATATGTACTACTACTACTACTATGTGTACTACTGTCACATGTTCACTTATTTAGATATAAAGAGATAGTAGGACAAGTCAATGAATACACATATATTATAAGGCAAAGACAATTGGTAGAATATATGTACTTGTAAGTCACGGATAATTAGTTATTTGTATTATATACTTAAATGGGTTTTTGTGAGATAGATATTTGGTACTTACTATTATATACATATGCATGGGCGTTTTTGTGTGATAAAGTTAAATGGTGATAACAATGGCAGATTTAGGAAAGTCTTAGGTACAGTTTTATCTATAGGCTATAAGGAAGATGTCCGTTTCATTGTACTCAGTGACCTATGGAGAAGGGGTGGGATTTAATAAGTAAATACTTCCTCCCACTGCTTTTCGGATGTGTAAATAAAGGTAAATATACACTGTTAATTGCTTTTGATCATTCTTTTCATTATTTTTAAATATTACTTTCTGTCTGTCTGCTTGTTTGTATGGTCATGCCTTTTTTTACACGCTAAATAAATATCAAATATCATATACATCAAAATATTGTTATACAAGTTCTGATGAAGTTCTTGATTTTGTATTTATATAACGGATTTAAAGGCAGTGTGATGGCACTGGAACTCTTGCATCAATACCGTGTTCACTTCCAGGACTTCAACTGAAATAAGTCTTGGCTGTTACTCTTGGCACATGTGTGACCTCGGGGTCCTCTCCACCAGCTTCACTTTCATTTTTTCCTTCTTCTCAGAATAGTCAGCATTTACCGCCATGTATCAAGTGGTAAGACTGATAAGACTTCTAAGGAAAATCGCATCCCATCATCCACCGCAGGTGGAGTAGAGGTCTCACATGCGTCACGCGCCTTGGACTTTAAATAGAGAGCGCAGAGGAGCGCTCGTATAACGGTCCTTAGAGCTGCGAGGAGGCGCCTGAGAGGAGATCGACTTTAAGTTTATACGACTTCAGCTGCTTCTGTTCGCTGTCAGATTTTCTTTGGCTCAGTTTCCGACCAAGCACTCGGACTTTTTTTTTTTTAACTGATTACGGTCTTCCCGCTCTGCTGTTATCCGGATACGATGGCCAGCTCTGGGCTGCAGCTCCTCGGGTTCCTCCTCTCTCTGATCGGTCTCGCCACCACTGTTGCTGCAACTATGATGGTTGAATGGAAGAAGCAGTACCAGGGCAAGTCGCACCGCATCTACGAGGGCTTGTGGATGAGCTGCAGTGGCAATGAGAGAACAACCTGTGAATTTCACCAGTACCTCCTGAAGCTGCCAAGTAAGTTTTTTTTGCATCTGCATCTCCTCCAAAAACCAGACGCTGCTTGCTGAGATATCTTCCACTTATAATAATGTACTATAATTAGCCAGAAGTGCGTCTTTGTTGTGTAAGCTCTCTGAATTGACCTCATCTGACTTTATGGCATATCTGATATTCATATAGGGTCATAGAGGGGTTTATTTTTTATTGCATATATTTTGTAGAATTATAATCTTTATTTGCTGTTGACAAAGTGCAAAGTTGAAACTTAAAGAGTAAACCAAAACAAGACTGCACAACTGTCATACATTTTGTTACAGATAGATGTAATATGAGTAATATTCAGTCTCTAAGATCATCTCCAGCTATCACAGACTGTATCAATGAGAGGCTTACTGTATATATGTACCAACATTCCCACTTCTGCTCCTCCAGCTGAGATCCAGGCCACCAGGGCCGTGATGCTGATCAGCATCTTCCTCTCCACTGTGGCACTGTTGGTCTCCACGGTGGGAATGAAGTGCACCCGCTTCATGGACGGCAAACCTGAGAGCAAATCCTTGACAGCTATGATCGGAGGAATCATGTTCATGATTGCAGGTGTGTTTAGCAGCAACAAACTCTGATGGGCTCTCACAGGCAGTCACACTACATAATATGTCAAGTATAGTGTTTTCATAATGTTCATCATCACTGATCACATTTTAAATTTTATTTTTGTATTCAAAATACAAAAAAATACAACACAAAACCTGAGTTATACCATTTGATTTAATTCAGTTTTATTTATATAATCCAATATGACAAATCACAATTTGCCTCTGGGGGCTTTGCAACATATTACACCCTCTGACCTTTGACCCTCACAGCAGAAAAACTTCCCAAAACAAAAAACCTTTAGTGAGTGGAAATCTGTGAGAGACCTCAGGAAGAGCAACCTGAGGAGTGATCTGTCTCCCAGGGCAGAAAGATGTGAACAGAAAAGCAATTATTAAATCATGAATGCCATTTTTTATACAACCATGAAAAAGATTTCATCCTAAAAAAAAATTCTAATGGCACTTTTAAAGAACATAAGAGCTGTTTTAAACTATAGAAATAAGACCAAACCAAAGCACAACAAGAACAAAATACCACAAACATCAGTAGTCACAAGAGAGTGCACTAACATTTCTGCAGAAATATCACCAGCCCCATCGGAGTTAGAGCTCCTATAGGTCAGTCTAATTCTCTTTATCCTCCATTTGTACTTTCTGCAGTCATTTTTTCACCATTAAACATATTCAAGAGTCAGTCCCTAAAACAAATAGTAAGCAAAATGCAAAAGCAGAAAACATATCTAAAAGAACAGGTTGTCAGAAAAAAATATTAGGATTTGAATGAGCACTTCAGTGATGAACAATATGATGTGTTTTTTTTTGTTCAGGTTTACTGACCCTCATCATAACCTCCTGGTACGTCAAAATGATTGTTCATTACGTCCACGAATCCCATCGCCTGCAGAGGTACACACACACACACACACACACACACACACACACTTAAGTGCTTTATTTTCATTTGAAAGTGGTACTGTAAAACTAAACTGACATATGCGCATACATACATGTTTACATGCAGATACACATAGATAAACACACGTGCATCTAAACATATCTGTTTTCCTCCTCAGCTTTGAGTTTGGTAAGGCCGTGTTTGTCAGCTGGGCTGGTGGCCTCCTCACTATGGCTGGCGGTGCCTTTCTGAGCTGTCGGAGATGCTCGCGGTCTCAGTCGAATGGCTCCATCAGCTCCAACCAGCTCCTCGCCACCAACACCCACTCCAAGTCCAACTACGTCTAGCGGAGGAGAGGCCTTGAGACAGTGAATTTACAGACTGCAGCAGGTTGGGTTTCTACGACGAGGAAATGTCCCACTGCAGGATTACAAATACTACGTACTGAACACTGAGTCAGTAACCAGCATCAGGAATACATACAAAATCAGGCTGTTTGTAATGAGTGTTTGAATCCCGTTTTACAGCTTGATTTTTTTTATTTTAGCACAACACTTGGTTACTTGGATGCCGTCAGTCACTGCTACGAATGTGTAAGGCATTCAAAGAGATTACTATCTCAGAATTAAAATGAATGAGATAATAATGTTGTTAATTCAGAAAAATTAGAATTAATGAGATTATTATCTCGTTAATTCCTGCAATAAGCTTGTTAATAATTTTCCATTAAGAGAAATAAAAGGACTAACTTTTAAAATAATTTCAAACATTAAAATTACACATGGATTCGTTATTTCAGGTTTAAACATGCTGATCTTTGTCAGCCTGTTTGTGTAAGTATGACATCACAAAGTTACTCCTCACAGCTACCTATGAATGAACGCTTGTTTCAGTAGTTTACAGTGTTGACACTGTAGAGATTTCTGTACTCTTACCGTGTACTTTGCCTTGGAATTTATTCCTCTTCAGTTTCTCACTGGTGTTAATATAGATTTGTTTGTGTACGTTGTTCATGTTATGACTAAAGTTTTATCTTTTCTTGTCATATTTTCCTGTAGTTTGGTCATTGTTAATGTTATTTGGCACATCATGTGGCAGTTTGAAAGATAATATGTGTGTTTGTATATTTTGGAAAGAGAAATAAAATTATTTTGTTTTCTTCACTCGGGTTTACGTTCTATTATATTCCAGACATAAATAAACGTATCATCAAATCTGACAATAAACCCACATTAAATGTGATCTGGTCAAGTTTAAACTGCAAGACGCTGCTGTTTGCTGTGACAAAGTGGATTGTGTTGCCTCCAGTGCTGCAGTAATGAGAGCTTTCCTGACAAACAGTTTCCTTCCTCCCATATCTGCTGCCGATTTTCCCTCTAAATAGGCCTACTCCATTAACTGACATCGGTTATTACAGCTGCTGCCATGGTGAAGTCAGAGTGGAGCGCTGATTGGAAAGGGAGTAAGAATTTCTGTATGACCCAGTGTGGAGTCAGTGTTATGAGAGCCGCCTGGGGAAACAGGATCCTTATCTCACTCTGGGTGGATGTACATTTTGTAAGGAAGGATACGAAAAATGGGAGATAACTACACAAGAGAAAAGCTGAACGTGAAATAAATCAGGTCGGAACACGTAGAGTGGCACGCAAAAGTTTGGGCACCACTGGTCAAAATTTCATTCCATGTGAGTAGTTACGTAAGAAGAAGATGACCTGATTTCAAATAGACAAGATCATTTTTTAAATTCAACCTTTTATAGGGCCTGAAGCAAAAGTTTGGGCACCCTGCATGGCGGTGTTTCTGTGAAGTTCTGTATAGTTTAGTGGATTCAAAACTCACCCAAAAAGGTTTCACTGACATAACAATTGTCTTATACTTAACACATTGTCCAAACAAATATAACATGCTAACATGATTAGCACAAGCTTGTGGCATTTTAAGAGTCTTTTTGAGAGTCTTTCAATTCTTGTTTGGAGGATTTTCACCCATTCTTTTTGCAAAAGTCTTCTTGCGCTCTGAGATTCTTGAGCCGTCTTATGTGAACTTCTCTTTTGACGTCTGTCCACAGATTTTTAATGATGTTTAGGTCAGGGGACTGTGAGGGCCATGGCAAAACCCTCAGCTTGCTCTAGAGGTTGTCCATTGTGGATTTGGAGGTGTATTTAGGATCATTGTCCTTTTGTAGAAGCCATCCTCTCCTCATCTTCAGATTTCTTACAGATGCTGTGATGTTTGCCTCCAGAAGTTGCTGGAATTTAATTGAATCCATTCTTCCCTCCACTGACTGCAACACAAACCCAAAGCATGATCGATCCACCTCGGTGTTTAACAACTGGTCAGGTGGTCTTTTTATGAAATTCTGCATTTGTTTTCTCCAACCTTACTTTTTGCTCACTGCGTCCAAAAAGTTCTATTTTAACTTCATCAGTCCACAGGCTTGTTTAGATGTTCCTCTGCAAACTTCTGAGGCTGAATTTTGTGGTGAAGACACAGGAAAGGTTTTCTTCTTATGACTCTTCCTTCTTCCTTGCACAGTAGAGCAGTGCACCCCCACTCCAGAGTCTGATAAATCTTCCTGCAGGTCTTTTGCAGTCAAACAGGGATTTGATTTGCCTTTCTAGCAATCCTACAAGCAGCTTGCCTGGAAAGTTTTCTTGGTCTTCCAGAGCTCAACTCGACCTCCATAGTTCCTGTTAACTGCCATTTCCTAATTACACTGCAAACTGAGGAAACAGCGACCTGTAAACAGAGTGCTCGTCAGCTGTTTAGAGGAGCCCAAGGCTGCTGATTGTTGGGACAAGTATTTATAAAGCTTTGAAATTTGCATCATCTGACCTTTCCTAACAATTAACAAGCCATAGTCCAAACAAGCTAATTAAAGTGTGAGACCCTGGTTAAAGTTGTCTGAGAGCTCAAGTGTCTTGGGGTGCCCAGATTTTTGCAAGGTGCGCCTTTCCTTTCCCCAAATGAGCCCGGTCTCACTCCGAAGTCGTTGCAATCCGGCGCTTGGGCGGTGACTTGCAGCGTCAGAAACCAATGAAAAAAGCTGTCCTTTAAATCGGCATGATACGTGGTCGGTTGCTGTTACAGTTTAACAGTGCCTGGCTGCGTCAGGGAGAAACGCGACAGGTAAAGGACAAGATCCTAAAGCCAAACCCTGTTCTCTTTTCCTAAACCTAACCACACGCTTTTGTTGCCTAAACCCAACCATGTGTGTTTGTTGTTGAAGGAAAAAAAACATCAATTCACGGTGAGTACTGACGTAGTGCGTTTATTTTGAAAGAGACAGCGTATAAACAGTAAATTTCCTGTAAAAACCGCAATGTTTTATGAAAGGAGAGAGTGCATGTAACAGGCAGAACTTGACACGGTGTCCCAGAACATCAACAACCAACACACCCAGGGTACCTTGCACGTCCTATGTGGACGTGGAAAGTCCATGACCAAACGTCATATATGATGAGGTCGGAGTTGCTAATATTGTACAGAACAAAAATAAGACACAGATCTTGCTTAAAATGTTGAAAAGCACGTCAGTTCATCTTCTATTTACTTAACAATAAACAAAATTTTGAACAGGGGAGCCCAAACTTTTGCATGCCACTGTATTGATAGATAACTTAAGAAGACCTTGAAGAAGATCTTGGAGCTGAGACCAAAAAATCCCATCACCTCGAGTCTGAAGTCATTACAAACACCATTTGCTCCAGTCTCATACCATAAAACTGAGTCAATGTGTATGTTTTTGGGGGAACTGACTCATTGCTTGATAAAAAAAATGACTTGGTCCTTTAAATATTTTTATTGGAGAAGAATTTGATGTACTGGTAAGCCATCCTGAGCAAGGTCACACTGAAACAAGAAACAACCTCATTCTTTATAAACACAACAATTAGCGTGAGACTGTGTTGTGTCCTCAACGGATATAAATAATGTCAGAATCTCATGGGACTGGCACGCTGCTGCCCAGACACTTCCTGAACTCTCAGAAAACAACAGAAAGTAAACTGGGAAAAAAATAATGGTGAGCTGCATCATGGACGTTTTGTGGCAGTGGCTCTTTGCAAAGTTATAGATATCTGTCATTTTCACATGCTAATTCATCTTTTCTTTTGAACGTGCCTTTTTTAAGTGAAAGCACTGTGACATTTATTTAGTAAACCTCAAAAACTTGACGTGTTGTCATGCTGTATCTACATAGGGTTCTACACATTTACCTTTCAAGTGCCTCTTTGAGAAAATTGCACTGCAAATGATAATCGACTTAAGGAAAAACAAAACAACTCATCAAAGTGGACTGTGCATTAACGGGGAAGACGTAGAGAGGGTTACAAGCTTTAACTTCCTGTGGGTGCTCATAGGTGCAAACCTGGCCTGGAGTCTGAACACCTCCCACATCATCAAAAGAGCCCGGCAAAGGATGTTCTTTCTGAGGACCCTGAAACATAACAGGCTTCCTCAGGAACTTATGATCCGCTGTTACCGCTGCACAATTGGGAGCATAATAACACACTGCTGTACTGAGTAATACTCCGGCTGCACCTGTGGCTGAAAAAAAAGGAGATGGAGTGGATTGTCAAGATGGCAAGAAGATCATTGGCTTCCTCCCACCAAACTTTTGTGACATCCACTCAGCGCGTATTGTCACACTGGCCACAAACATAAGGTAGAACCCCTATCTATCTATCTATCTATCTATCTATCTATCTATCTATCTATCTATCTATCTATCTATCTATCTATCTATCTAGGGGGGCATGTCCCCTCCAGCAGAACTAGTAGAACATCTGCTTTGTCTTCTCCCAATAAAACCATGAAAGTGGCAGAAGACTTTTATCTCGACAAAGTCAAAGACATTTACACCATAAATTGATGCAGAATACACAGAAATGTTGGCATAAAATTTCACCAGAATGCAGGAAATTAAGTGTTTAATGCTAAAAATGTTCAGGCAGAGGATCCCCAAACTCTCCATTTCACATGAGCCCTCCTCAGTGTTTAATAAAACACCCTTACTGTGTTGTGTTGTCTTTGTGCCCATTATACCTTGCACTGTTTCTATTGAATCATACCTGGTTGTGGTTAACTTGAAAAAAATAAATGTCATTGTTCATATTTTATTCTGAAGTAGTATAATTTCCCCACAGCCTTTTGGTGCTTTGCTACAGAATTATGAATGGCTCGTAAAGGAATGTAAACAAATCACACGTCACCGTTATCCATATACAGTCTTCACAAATAGAAACACAAATATCTGCCCTGAATGCATTTGTCCTGACAATGAACAGCCCGACACCTCAGCAGATGTGAAGGATCAAATCTTTTATGAACAGGGAGTTTTCAGTGATTCTTCAGTGCACAGCTCAAACTGGAGCTTAGATCTTATGGGTGGATTTTGGCAAAAGGTGGGTGACTGTTCAGGATGCCATTGAAGTGTGTTTTAATTGTCTCCCTGCAAGTTTATGTTGCTGCAAATTAAAGCTCATCTGCAAATAAAAAGTACTGTGATACTACCCTCCAGTGGTCTATTTCAAATATAGCAGCTTTTACATTTTGTTTTTAGACTTCACTTCAAGAAATGTTTGTTATGATAATTAAAACTATCACACAGACATATTTCAGTCAGGATAATACAAGTTTGGACTCAGATCAAGTTTTACAAAACTAATGAAGATTAAAACAAACTCCTGGGATTGTTTCCACCTAACATTCATCTACATTTACACAGATGCTGAAGAATATTATTGACTGTACTCTACATGTTAGTAGAGAGGTTCACAAGTGCTTTTGTCTGCTTGCCTGGGTTAACAAATGCTTAACATGTCTATATACTTTTTATTTATTCTATTGATATGGCATATTTACTGAGACATATGTTATGCATATTGGGTCATATAGCCCTCTCCACATCCATGATATGCACAGAAATAGCCAAAAGTGTGCATATGTATATAAGAAAGACAAAAGATGAACATATAGTTTCTAATGTACTTGTATGATGTGTATGTATGGCATGTATAGAAAATTCTGAACTGGAAAAACAAGCAGGTGAAATACAAAAACATGACTGAGAGACCCAATTAACCAGAAATATTTTCTTCATAGAAATATGGCACAGATACATAATAAGTTGTGTGAGTAAAACTCAAGTTAGTCTTTCTTG